TGTGTGTGTGTGTGTGTGTGTGTGTGTGTGTGTGTGTGTGTGTGTGTGGTGTTTGGCAAATATATGTATGTTTATGTGTGGGTGTGTGTATAGTGTATGTATGTGTGTGTGTTTGTGTAACCCAAAGCCCATTAATGGCATGGGACTCTCTATCACTCTTGACAACTCCACCCCCACCCCCGCCCCTCAAGCATGGATGGGGTATTGATCTTCACTAATGAGGAGTCCATACCAATGGGCTTTGGTACTGAGGCAACATATATGAAGAAATTAACTGAAAAACATATGGAAAGTGATGCTGGTGTCCAAATGAGAATGTAATCCTGAAATAACCTAAGTTTAGTAATTCTCCAAATATCTAACTTCAAAATATAGTCATATAAATTAAGCAAATGCAAACACAGGTATTCAACAATGTTATAGGACATGATTATCTAAAATGTGTGAAATAAAAATTTCAGATCTACATCCCAAGAAATTGCTCAGAATGCTCAGACTTAAGGAGCTATGAAGGAGCCTCCTATCTAGAAAACAGGGAATAATTACTCTAATCATGTATTTAACAGACATTTATTAAATGTCTATTATATGCCGTTCACTGTGCTAACTACCAAAGGTGATATAAAAAGGAATAAAACAAAGTCCTGTCTATTATTTATTATCTGGGCAAGGATTTTTCAATTAAAAGTCCATGAATCTACGGGAGTCCATGGACAAATTTTAGGGGGCCTGTGAACTTAGATGGGGAAAAAATGCATCTTTATTTTCACTAACCTCCAAGTGAAATTTAGCATTTCCTTCAATTATGAATGTGGGCAACAAACATTATTCTGAGAAGGGGTCCATAAATTTCTCCACACCACCAAAGGATCCAGGACACAAAAAAAGGTTAAGAATCCCTGATTCTAATAGAATCTACCTCACAGGGTTGATGTAGGAAGAACCTGAGGTTTTATGAAGTTCAATAAAGATATTTGATAAAGTTACACTTGTATCACTGATCCATTACTGGCTATATTATATATTATAAGAAACGTGAATAAGTTTAAAGAAAAGCAAAAAATATGAAATGTGGCATATGCTGATCAGACCAGGTCTAGTTGTTCTGCCCTTGTTTTTACTTAAATGTTATCCTTCCTTACAAAGGAGGAGTGGCACGGGGCAGGAGAGGGGCAGAATACTGCCTTGAGGGAAAATTACCAAAGTCACACAAAGCACCAATCAAATCAGTTTTTTTAAAAATGAAAGGGGTGGGAGAGACAGATATGACCCAAAAGCCTGTTTTTGGACAAGAGTTACTTAGAACTAAGTCCTTAATTTCCTCCTCATTTCTCTCTCCCTGTCCTTCTTCCTCTCTTCTCAGAAAATCATGAAAAATGACTGCTAGTTTACCTTCTCTTTCTGGTTGACACCCCAAACCACCTCCTCTTTTCCAGAATGTGGGGACAAAGTCACTTGATGGTCTTTAAACTGGGTTGAGCAATCAATTACTGGCTTCAGCTATGCAGTTGTCCTACGGGTTTGAACTAAACAACAACAAACAATCGGAGGAAATGAAGGAGAAATGTGTTCACTTGGAAATGTGTTCAGAGATAGCTAGCTGGTACAGTGGATGAAGGGCTGGGCCTGGGGTCAGGAAGACCTGAATTCAAATCCTGTCTCAGACACTGACTGGATGGGAAAGTAACTTAACCTCTCTCAGTTTCCTCATTTGTTAGATGGGGATAATTAATAGTACCTGTTTAACAGGGTTGTTGTTAGGATAAAATTACATATTTATAGAGTGCTTAGCACAGTGCCCAGCATATAGTAGGTGCTATATAATGCTAGTTATTATTATTGCTGCTGTCATCATCGTCATTATTATTACTTGTACTGGTTGGGACAGAACAGTGGCTCTCCAAGGGTATTTCATACACACACGCATACGTGCACAAACACACACACGCACACACAGTTTCCACTGAGTGCCCCAAGAATTATACGAAACTTCCATTTTTATGCTCCAATCTCTCCCACTTATACAAAACCTACATTTCTAATTGAATCTCCCCTCTTGTGCCAAAATTCTTCACAACAAAGAATAATATTGTTCAATGAGCAAAAAAAGTCTGAAGACCTCTAGGATAGAGATACATTAAAACTGTAACACTGTGAATCTAGTCAATGATTTTTAAATTATTTTAATGTTAAATTTTTAAAAATTTAAAATTTTAATTTTTAAAATTTTTTAAAAATGTTACTTGTGTCATATTACTTTAGGATAGGATAAGACAGAGAGCATAGCATAGTGGAGAGAGATAGCCTCAGAGTCAGGAAGGCCTGGATTCAAGTCCTGACTCTGACACATACTAGATGTGTGACCCTGGGCAAGTCACATGCTCCCACAGTGCCCCGTGCACCTTTCTAAAGACAACTGCTTTCTAGGGACAACTGATTATCAAAATTAGTGGAGGTACTGGCAGTTTCCTTTGCCGGTGAAATTATGAGTCAAAACTGAAAAACAACTATAATTTTTAGTGAAGAAGCAACCTTAGGTACTCAAAGGCCCTATCATAGAGGCAGAACAAGTCATTTCACCTCTCAGCCTCAGTTTCTTCATCTGTAAAATGTGGATCATAATAAGAGCACCCACATTACAGGGTTATTATGAAGATTAAATGAGATAATATTTGTAAATTATTTTGCAAACTTTCAAAAGCTATATAAATATTAGCTATCATTATCTGAGCATGTGATCTGGCAGGTCCTCCCATCTGAGAGATAGTGTTAGGCAGCAGATGGAGCACTGGACTTGGAATCAAGAGGACTTGGGTTCAGATCTCACCCTAGACATTTACTTGTTGTGTGAACCTGGACAAATCACTTCATCTTTCTTTTCTTCATTCTCGTCTGTAAAATGAGGGGTTTGGCCTCAGTGGCCTTGAAGGTCTTTTACTAGCTCTAAATCTGTGAGTCTATGAGCCTATGACCTGGAAAGGGTCCAAATATGATAAAACCATTGATAAATGAGGATGTTTCCCCCCTAAGGACTAGCCCAGCTAAGCGCAGCTGATCGAGGTTCCTCACCAGAGGATTAGCCAATGAAGGATCAATAGCATCAAAATCCTAAGTTGTGCAAGAAGGTGTAAGAAGTTTGCAATTTGTATCAACAAAGGAGTACTCATCCTGATGAAACTATGGATCTTTTGAAGTGTTACATTAACAAAATTTATTAAATATCTTTGGAGACAAAAATGACAGATGTTGGGGGATGGTATGAAATGATCCAAAGTATTTGATAGTATTTAAAAAAGAGAAGAGGCAATGCTGTTTTTAAGAGCTGATGAACTATTCTAATAGACTTCATTTTCGTAAGGAACGGAGAAGAATCATGAGGTTTTCCCATGGCAGCTATTAGTGTTTTTTCTAATCATTCTCTTTTTACAAGAGGCACTGATGTACCCAAGAGCCCACATCCAGCTCAGCCTTTCCCTCACTCCCTCCCAGCTTCCCTCTTTCCTTTCCTTCTCCACCAATTACAGTGTGTTCTGCCATACCTACCATTATGGTGTGTTCGGGGAATTTGGCTCGGACAAGCTTCACAAATTCCACAAAGTGCTCAGAATATCCATTGGCCACGTCCAGACAGATATATTTTATCTGTGGCACAGCCTCCAGGATACTGCTCATCCTGTCCAGGTCACTCTGTCCACTGCCTGAGCTCACGGCTACATGCTGGACAAATGAAAAAACATACATGAATGGCAGTGCTCAGGAAAACAGTCTCAACTGCAATCCACTCACCAACAATGTACAGAGGTACATTTGTCACTGATCATGAGGGACCAGTTTTGAGATAACAGACCTCAACGAAGTTGACTAGGTCATTAAACTGACCTCAAAATCAGGAACCCCGAGTTTATATTCCATTTCTAATATTAACTTGCCATATATCCTTAGACCAGGATTTTGACCATAAGATCTTTTCAGAAATCAACAAGTTCTTGGTTATTCTGGAAGCCTCTCTTTCTTCTCCTCTTCCCTCATTTCCTTAATCAGTGTATATGTTGGCAAGGATCAATCAATCAACTAATAAGCACTTACTACACACCAGGTAAATGGCACATAGTAAATATACTAAAGGGGCAGTTGGGTGGCACAGTGGATAAAGCTCTGGGTCTGGAGTCAGGAAGACCTGAGTTCAAATTCAGCCTCAGACACTTACTAGCTATGTTACTTTGGGTAAGTCACTTAATCCTATTTATCCAGTTCCTTATCTGTAAAATGAGCTGAAGAGGAAACAGTAAAGCATTCTAGTACCTTTGTCAAGAAAAGCCCAAATGGGGTCACAAAGAATCAGACATGACTAAAACAATTAAAAAACAACAAATATGCTAAATGCTGGCGATACAAATACCAAAACAAAGCAATCCTTGTCCTCACATAGCTTAACTTCTAATGGGGGAAATGTAGTTCAAGAAATGTTAACAGAGATCATGGATATAGAGTTCAAAAGACCTTAGAGCCCATCCAGTCCAATTCCTTGTTTTACAGATAAGGAAACTGAGCCCTGGAGAGCTGAGGTGACTTGTCCAATAGAGTGTCAGAAGCGAGACGACTGCAGGTCCTCTGCCTCTAGAGCTGCCATTTTTTTCTAGTGACCAATGTTATGCATCCTCTCAATAGATAGAGGCAGCTGTGTGCCATGAAGAACGCTTAGGTTCTGAAGTCAGAAAGCCCGAGTTGAAGTCCCCACTCTGAGGCAAGTCACTTAGCATCTGTTTCTTCATCTCTGCAGTGGAGACAATATTTGCATTACCCATCTCCTGAGCTAATTGTGAAGATGATGTGCTGTTATAAGTACTACAGAAATATGAGTTGATAAAGCAGCCAACCGTTAAAGCTGCATGGATCTCCAAGGGACGGTAGCCTGCTTTCAAAATCTGTCTGCCCATGTGTACTCTATGTAGGATGTTAGATAATGCGGTCGATGGAGCACCGGGTTGAGTCATAAAGACCCAAATTCAAATCCTCTTTTTATGTGCTTCACTTTCTTCCAATGTAAGCTTCGACATCTAAATCTTATTTTTTTCTTCAATTCAATTTGGTTAGGATTTGTTTATTTTGTTTTTTGCAGCATTTTATTTATTTTATTCTGAACTTAAGAAATAAAACAATCTAGCTCTAAATCTATGATTTTACGGTCTTAATTCATCCCAGGTACTGCTTTAGGTGCTGAAGACACACACACACACACACACACACACACACACACACACACACACACACACACACAAAACCAGGCCCTGCCTTTAAAGAGTTCACAATCTACTCAAAGAAGTTGATTTCTGTCTCTACACTTCCCTTTTTGACAGCTGGGCAGCCTGGTACAAGCCCTCATCATTTCAACACCTGGACTATTACAGTAGCCTTCTCATTGGCCTCCCTTCCTCAAGTCTCCTTCCCACTCCAATTCATCCTCCACTCAGCTACCAAAAATAATCTTCCCAAATCACAGGTCTGACTATGTCACCTTCACACTCAGCAAGCTCCAGTGCCTTCCTATTACCTCTGGGATCAAATTTAAAACCCTCAGTTTGGTTTTTAAAGGCCTTTACAAGCTGGCCTTTTCCTACCTTTCCAGTCTTCTGATAACTTTACTCCCCTCCATTGTATTCTAGGACCCATATCTAAATATCTAAGGATCCTGCCCTTGTTGTTCCACACACAAAATACTCCATCTTCTTGACTGTTTCTTTTCCCTAACTGGAATGGTCTCCTTCCTCCATCTCCTTAGAACTTACCTTCTACATGAGGTCTTTTTTTTCTATCTTTCCTACCTTCTGAGATTACTTTCCATTTATACTACATTTTTCTTGCATTTATATAGTTGTTTACATGTTGTCTCTTCCATTAAAATATAATATCTTTTGAGGTTAAACAATGTTTCTGCCTATCTCTGTGTGGCCAAGGTTTGGTGTAGTGACTAGCCCGGAATGCTTGTTGATTAACTCCTCTAATCCCTGCTCCCCAACTTGTAGTGATTTTGGCCACCTCTTTCCCTCCCCCTCTCCTCCAGGTACTCAAGAAAAATTCTACTGATTTACACCTTAATATAGTCTTAAGTAAGGGATTCTCCCTTTAGCAGGCTACTGCATTTTAAACTTTATCTCCTTTAAAAACATTTCTGTATGGGGGAAAGGCCTTTCATCCCACTGAAATCACACTCCTCCCTGTCAGGCCTTGTTATCTGAGTACTGGTGTGAATCCATTTCCATTTTAACTCAACCTATATGCCTTTTTCCTTAGAATAATAGTCATAATAATAATTCATTATTCATGTAGCATTTTACTGTTACATAGCTATGTCTAGGATGGGGGGGAGGGGATAAAAAGAAATTTATATGATAATTTTGTTGTGTATTTGAAAGAAATAGCAAGTAATGTGCATAGTAAATTTGCAGTTTCATGTGCATGCAGTTCCATCCTTTTTATTGTACTATGTTATGGAAATGCTTGTTTTATTCCATAAATCAAAAATAAAATTATTAAAAGGCTAAAAAAAATTTTAATATACCTTAACTGACCCTCACCACAATCTTCTGATGTAGGTGACACAATACAATTTATTCCATTTTATAGATAAAGAAACTGAGGGTCATAGAGATTAAATAAACTGCCCAGAAAGATTAAGTCTGGCAAGACCCAGGACTCAAGTCCTCAGCCTATATCCAGCTGCCTCTCACTTAAAATTTGGCCACCCATTCACTTGCCTGTTTGGAAGTTTGTTATCAGTCTTCCAAATTGAATCAAATGTATATGCCTGGTATCTTGCAAATCTAATCAAAGGGGTTTTAAAACTGAAAAGAAAGGGAGGTGAAGGGAGGGAGAGAAAATCATCTACATACAGCTACCTAGTTATTAACCAAAGAAGGTAGCAAGAAGAAAAATAGCAGTAGATGCACCCTTCAAATTCCCAGGAAATAAAATCCAAGAAAAATTCTGGCAGTCAGGCCCACAGCCTCAGATACACAAAGTATGGGTGATGGACAAGAGATAACAATGATAATGATAATAACAACATCTAGCATTTATTTGTGCATACTATGTGCCATGCATTGTGCTAAGCACTTTGCCGTTATTATTTCATTTAAACATCGCAACAACCCTGGGAGGTAGGTGTTATTCTTATTATTCCCATTTTACAGCTGAGGAAACTGAGGCAAAGAGAGGTTAAGGGATTTGCCCAGGGTCACACTATTAGTGAGTATCTGAGACCAGATTTGAACTCAGTTCTGAATCCAGGACCAGTGTTCTATCCACTTCACTACCTAGCTACCCCCAAATTTTTAAATGAGACAAATTTGATCTCATTTATTTCACTGACATTTGATGGGATGAGATCCATTACTGGAAAATGGTGTTGGAAGGGTATACATTATACCTTATTCAAAAGAAACGGAAGAGTTAAAACATAATAAAATTGGAGGATGAGATTGAGGGGGAAGTGAGGAGTTACAGAATAAGATAGATGCATGGGGGGCCTCCAGAAATCAGAGGAGGAAAAAGCATAGCATAGAACATTTGGGGGAGTATCAATGGAGGCAGAAACAGAACTATACAGGCATCAAAGTACACTGCAGACCACTTGGACATACGGATCTGCTGTATGCTCTCCTGGTTAGACTACATGGAGTGTATTTTGTTCTGTTTTGAGAGGTGTATTTTACAAATAACTCTAATAAGGTGAAGAGTATTTAAGAAAGGGTGACCAGACAGGTCAAAGGCCTGGAAATCGAATCATACTTGTAGTAACTGAGGATGTTTGGTCTGGAGAGGAGAATCAGGGGAGGCTTGATAACCATCTTTAAGCATTTGAGAGAACGTCATGTGGAGGCAGCATGACATAGTCCAGCAGGGGTGGGGAACCTGTGACCTTCTAGGTCCTTGGGTTCAACTGAGTCAAAATCTTATAGAACAAATCTTTTTATTAAGAGGATTTGTTCTGTGAAGTTTGGATTCAGTCAAAGGGCCACACTTGAGGACCTAGAGGGCCACATGTGGCCTTGAGGATGCAGGTTCCCGACCCCGGTCCATAAAGATCTGGCCTTGAAATCAGGAAGATCTAGGTTCAAGACCTGCCTCTAACCAATACTGGCTGTGTGATCCTGACTAAGTCACTTTCACGTTAGGGCTCTAGACCAGAGTTATCAAATATTCCTCAAGTGCTGCTGAACTAGATTAAGATATAATCAGGAAATATTTAACAAAATAAATAAAAATACAATAGAACATAGATAATGTAATATATGGTTTTCTAAGTCAATAGGCATCCACAGGGATACTTATGTAAGATTTAATGGTTCCTATTTCTATTTGAGTTTGATATTACTGCTGTAGCAACTCTAAGGCTATAAGCTGCAACAAAGGTGCCACCTGCACTGGTAGGAGAAGGGGAGTTTCTTCATTTGTGAGTTCCCTGTACCAATTAAATCACGGATCCTATCTCTATCCATGCAGAAGTGAGTTTAGACTTCTCCTGTTGGCCCCAAAGGAGAGAACCTAGTATAATGGGTGGAAGTGAGAGAAAGATTTCAACACAATGTGAGGGAGGAAAGATTAGGGTAGCTAGCTTGTATAGTGCCCAGCCTGGAGTCAGGAAGACTGAGTTCAAATCTGGCCTCAGAGATATTTCCTAGCGGTGTGACCCTGAGCAAGTCACTTAACCTTGTTGGTCTCAGTTTCCTCATCTGTAAAATGAGCTGGAGAAGAAAATGGCAAACTGCTCTAGTATCTCTGCCAAGAAAACACCAAATGGAGTCATGAAGAGTCAGATATGACTGAAAATGACTGAACAACAATAACAAAAGGAAGGACTTGCTAACAATTAGCGATGCCCAGTGGACTGGGCTGTCTTAGGAAGATACTAAGTTCTCCTTCAGGAGAGGTCTTCAATGCAAGCAAAGGGTAGATGAGCACTTGTTGAATATATAATCAAAGGGATTCTTAGAAAGGTCCAGGTTGGTCTAGATAGGTCTTTTGCAACTCTGAAATTCTGTGAGTTTGGGTTACTGTTCTTCCTCAGGACTGATGAGCTTTTAAATTTTCACTTTATAATTAGACTCTGGGCAGGGAGAATAAATCAGATTTTCAGAGTTCATAATGGAAGGTTGAGGTTCTGATTAATGAAGTGTTATCCAAAACTACATTTACAGACATGGAGGTTTGAGGAAAAAATCATTGCTCATTCATCAACAATTTTCTCAAAAAGTTGTAAGACAAAAGAGAAGAAAGAGAAAATAGTCATCATTCACTTGCAAGGTATAAAATCAAAATAAAATATCAGCTGTTCAGTCACCAAGCTAGAGTCACAGAAATCTTTTATCTTAGAGAACCATCTTCTCATTAATCAGAATCCAGACATAATTAATATACTGGCTCAGGTAACAGAGAACTACACATGGCCTCAACAGCAGCAATCAGAATGAGGTGATAGAACCTGGCAATCACAGACTGACCTCTTTCAGTTCCATGGAGAGCACCTCTAATGTGGTTTATGATGAACTTTCTGTTAGCATTGCCTCAGAAACCACTGTAAAAAGCCCTTAGGAATAAAGAAGGAAGAAACAGAGCTGGCCCTGTCTGCCTTTCTTTTCCATCAAGCTTGCTTTTTCTTTGTTGAAAGGTATGACTAGTAGTTGCTGCTTTTATATTCAGAAGTTATATTGAGATTGGATTCACCTTGGAGTTTCAGGCTAGAAACAGAGGTCATATTTCTCAGCCCTCCCATTCAAAACTGTTGGCCCAAGGGAAAGCAAAGACCTTTTCTGTGAGAAACTCGAATACGTCCTATTGTATATAACTGGATTCCTTGAGGTGACTCACTCCCATCTGACTTTTATCCCCATTGTCTCTGTTCTAATACTGCCACATATTAATTCCCCTTCTGGTACGGATCCCAGCTAGTTTCTCTTTGTCTACGCAAGTCATTTTTCTTTTCCAAATCTCTACAGCAATTTAATATTTACAAATCACTCCACAACTACTTGGGAGGTAGATATTACAGGTATTATTACAAAGTTTGTTGTTGTTCAATTAGTTCAACTCTTCATGACCCCATTTGGGATTTTCTTGACAGAGATATTAAAGTGGCTTGTCATTTCTTTCTCCAGCTCATTTTTACAGATGAGAAAACTGAGGCAAATAGGGTTAAGTGACATGCCTCGGGTCACACAGTAAGTGTCTAAGGCCAGATCTGAACTCAAGAAGTTGAGTCTTCCTGACTCCAGGCCCAGCACTCTATCTACTATACCACCAAAGTCCAGTGTTCTTTCTGCTGTAACATGCTAGCTCTCAAAATATCAAGAAATATCAAGAAAAAAAAAGGTAAGGAGTTTTCTCTATCATACAAAACTCTACATTACTCGCTTTAATCTATTAAAAAATAATTCTTCTGGAGCCACTAGGTGGTGCAGTGGATAGAGCACTGGCCCTGGAGTCAGGAGGACCTGAGATGAAATCCAGCCTCAGACACATAACACTCACTAGCTGGGTGACTCTGGGCAAGTCACTTAACCCCAATTGCTCTCACAAAAAAAAATAATAATAATAATTTTTTGAACAGTTTGCTGGTGATTTCATATGGTATCAGAAGACACCTGAAAGTAGTTCCCTGTTTCTTTCTTTCTTTTTTTTTTGTCTAGGCAATGGGGTTAAGTGACTTGCCCAGGGTCACACAGCTAGTGAGTGTTATGTGTCTGAGGCCAGATTTGAACTCGGGTCCTCCTGAATCCAGGGCCAGTGCTCTATCTACTGTGCCACCTAGCTGCCCCAGTAGTTCCCTCTTTTGATGGCAGTCTATCTTCGGATCCCAATCTTTAGGAGAGTTAATATTCATAGGATCAATCATAGGAACATAGATGCAGAGCTGGAAGAGACAATCTACTCCAATCCACTCATGGTACAGTTGCCTAAACTGAGGTCCAAGGAAGAAAAGTGACTCACTTAAGCTCACACGGGTAGATAAATGTCAAAAGCAGGATTTGAACCTGGATCCTCTGATTTTAGAAGCAGTGCTCTTTCCACTATGCTTCACTACTTCCTTCTGGCAGGTTGTGCCTCTCTTTGTTATCCTCATCTCAACAATAGAACACAGTGGCCCCTACCAGATTTTCCTTAGTTTGGATCTTGTCAGTTGCCTAAACAATACATATGACTATCTTCCTTTGCTATCCCCCATCCCTTTTAAAAAATCAATCTGGTTTCTTCTATTTTTAGATCTTCACTCTCCCACGAGGCAGCACTGTCCAACTGCTTAATTGAATCTACCATTGGAGAACCTCTTAGAGACAGGATCATAAAATCATAGAACTGAGTCCCAGAATCCCAGAAGTGAGATGCCAGAAGTCATCTAATCCAAGTCCTTAGAATTACACATGACACTCCACTTGAGCCAGCTTTCTGTATAAAAATATCACACACTACATCTAAAATACGATTCTCTCTTTCTAATCTAAATACCCTTGAAAACCCAGGTTTTTTTTTTCTTCCCAATATAACATATATATTCCGTGACATGAGTCAAATGATCAATAATCACGATGTGATCATACCTCCAGGCATTCTGGGTGATTTGTGGCAAATAGCTTCCAGTCCTCCAGGGTGTAATGCTTATGAATGGCTGTGAACATGGCATGCTGGGAAACAAAACAACATCATTAGAGTTAGACGCCAGGTTAGCCCATTTTCCTTCTGTCCATATGACAGGTATTATCTCACAACCTCAAAGTATCCATTTTCCTGACACTTACATATACCTTGCTTTGCATATGTTCCCAGGAGGTAATGGGTAGCTAAGATATTTGGGTAGGTAATGACACCCATAAAACCATGCTTGCAATTTTTTCCAGATTGGAAAGCACCTGCAATGAGATGAGCATCTATAACTAGGCCAGTAAGGCCTTGCCATGAGTCGGGTGAGAGAGTCCTCAGAGATTCTGTATAACCTGCTCAGGTCTCCATGTCACCACTATAAATGGCTAAAAGAATCATTCCTGTCAAGGGAACCTTTAATTGGGTTTCTAAACCAAGCCCATGCCAAGGCAGGGCTGCATCAAGACCAAGCATTAGCTGCTTTTCCTCTGGTAGCTGATTCCAATGCTGGTTCTCAAGAAGCTCTCCCTTGTACTGAACCTAAACCTGGAATAGTTGAGTTGTTACTGAGGCAGTGTGGTGTGATAGTAAGAGCTCTGCACAGGCCAGGCCTGAGGAAGTGGAGAAAGCACTGAGGGAAACAAAAGTGGGAAAGAACAACTGGAAGAGATTAAATACACAAAAAAGAGGTCTATCCTGGAGGTGATAATTTTGATGGCATGGAGGTATATAAAAGAGGGGAGAACTCCAATGGTATCCCAAGAATAAATGCCCCCCTTTTCAATATTGATATTCTTCTAGTGGTTTTGTAGAGCCACAAGATTAGAGTGTAAGCTCGTTAAGGACAGGGACTGTCTTTTGCTTCTTTTTGCATTCTTAGTTCTGAGCACAGTGCCTGGCACATAGTAGGTGCTAAATGTTTATTGAATTGAATTGACAAAGACAGAGAATACTTCCATTTTTGAGAACTGAAACTGAAGATCAAAAGAGTAATGGAAGCCCACGAAGTTGCTGTGAGCAGGCTGCAATATATTACCAAAAAAAAAAAGAAAGAAAGAAAGAAAGGAAGGAAGGAAGGAAGAAAGGATTACACTGACTAAAATGGAGTAAAGGATACAATCAAAAGAAATGTATGACCCCTGCCCCCCCCAAAAAAGGAGAGATAGCTTGTTCACATCTTAAGAATGAGGGATAACCAATAGAGAGACTACTTGCTCCATTGATTGCCTCGGGGCAGCGACTATTTCCTGAGCTTCCGGCCCACAGACTGAAGGGGAATCGAGTGGCTGATCAGAGGGGAATTACAAGGATCTCTTTGCCAGTGCTGAGGCAGGAATCCCTTGCTTTACCGGTGCTTGGATCTGGGTCACAGTTCTGAGGGGCAGTCCTTCGGCTAGGAGGAATGCTGGTGTGGTGGAAGCTTGTTGTGGCTGTGGAGAGGAAACACCTCACCCCTTATCATACCACCTTGGAAGAACTGAAAATTTACAGGTCCCTAGAAGTACCTCTGAAAACAGCTGTACAAACCCTCGAAGCTTGGGACAGTACGCTCTTCACATTGGAAGCAGACTTTTACCTTAATAAAGAGTTTAAAACTCAAGTAATTGGCTAGGATCATGAGTAAGCAGCACAAAAGGAGTCAGACTATATTATCTTACTTTGGTGACAAAGAAGATCAAAACATACAACCAGAAGAAGACAACAAAGCTAAAGCTCCTATATCCAAAGCCTCCGAGAAAAATATGAATCTGTCCCAGGCCTTGGAAGAGCTCAAAAGGGATTTTGAGAAGCAAGTAAGAGAAGTAGAGGAAAAACTGAGAGTGATGCAAGAAAATCATGAAAAGCAAGTCAACAGCTTGCTAAAGGAGACCCAAAAAATACTGAAGAAAATAACACCTTAAAAAATAGCCTAACCCAAATGGCAAAAGAGTCAATGAGGAGAAGAATGCCTTAAAAAGCAAAATTGGCCAAATGGAAAAGGAAGTTCAAAAGATTACTGAAGAAAATACTTCCTTAAAAATTAGAATAGAGCAATTGGAAGCTAGTGACTTTATGAGAAATCAAGACACTGTGAAACAAATCCAAAAGAATGAAAAATTAGAAAACAATGTGAAGTATCTCATTGGAAAAACAACTGACCTGGAAAATAGATCCAGGAGAGAGAATTTTAAAATTATTGGACTATCTGAAAGCTATGATCAAAAAAAAGAGCCTAGACATCATCTTTCAAGAAATTATCCAGGAAAACTGTCCTGATATTTTAGAACCAGAGGGCAAAATAGAAATTGAAAGAATCCACCGATCTCCTCCTGAAAGAGATCCCCAAAGGAAAACTCCTAGGAATATTGTAGCCAAATTCCAGAGTTCCCAGGTCAAGAAGAAAATATTACAAGCAGCCAGAAAGAAACAATTCAAATATTGTGGAAACACAATCAGGATAACACAAGATTTAGCTGCTTCTACATTAAGGGACCACAGGGCATGGAATATAATATTCCGGAGAGCAAATTTACAACCAAGAATCACCTACCCAGCAAAACTGAGTATAATCCTGCAGGGGAAAAAATGGTCATTCAGTGAAACAGAGGACTTTCAAGCATTCTTGATGAAAAGACCAGAGCTGAACAGAAAATTTGACTTTCCAATACAAGACTCAAGTGGAACACGAAGAGGTAAACAGGAAAGAGAAATCATAAGAGACTTATTAAGGTTAAACTGTTTACATTCCTGCATGGAAAGATGATATTTGTAACTCATGAGACCTTTGTCAGTATTAGGGTAGTTGGAGGGGGAAAAATTATATGTACGTATATATAGATATAGATAGATAGAGGGCACAGGGTGAGTTGAAAATGAAGGGGTCATATCTGGAGAATAAAATTAAGGGGTGAGAGAGGAATATACTAGGAGAAAGAGAAAGGGAGAGGTAGAATTGGGTAAATTATCCTACCAAAAAAAACCAGAAAAGAAAAGGCTCTTACAATGGAAGGGAAAAGGGGCAAGGTGAGAGGGAATGAGTGAATCTTATTCTCATAGGATTTGACTTAAGGAGGGAATAACATACACACTCAATTGGGTGTGGAAATCTGTCTTACCCTACAGGAAAATAGGGGAGGAAAGGGACAAGAGAGTAGGGGAATGATAGAGAAGAGGGCAGATTGGGAAAGGGAGTAATCAGAAGCAAATACTTCTGAGGAGGGACAGGGCCAAAAGAAAGAATAGAATAAATGGGGCAGGCAGGATAGGATTAAGGGAAATAGAGTTAGTTTTTCATGGCCTGTCTACTATGGAAGTGTTTTACATAACTGCACATGTATAACCTATATTGAGTTGCTTGCCTTTTCAATGAGGGTGGGTGGGGAGGGAAGAAGGGACAAAATTTGGAACCCAAAGTTTTAAAAACACATGTTTAAAAAAATGTTTTCACATGCAACTGGGAAATAAGAAATACAGGAAATGGGGTACAGAAATCCATCCTGCCCTACAGGAAAATTGAAGGGGAAGGGGATAAGAGAAGGGGGGAGAGATGGAAGGGAAGGCAGACTAGGGGAAGGGATATTTAGAATGCATGCCATCTTGGGGTGGGGGAGGGGTGAGATGGAGTGAAAATCTGGAACTCAAAATCTTGTGGAAGTAAATGTTGAAAACAAAAAAAATAATTGCCATTAAAAAAAAAGAAAAAAAGAGAAAGAAAGGAAGGAAGGAAGGAAGGAAGGAAGGATTACACTGACTAAAATGGAGTAAAGGATATAATCAAAAGAAATGTATGACCCCTGCCCCCCCCAAAAAAAAGACAGATAGCCTGTTCACATCTTAAGAATGAGGGATAACCAATAGAGAGTCTACTTGCTCTATTGATAGCCACACAATGTCAAGAGAATGTAAGAAAGCCCTCCAGAACAACAGGTGGAGCCCCAGTGCAGAATTAATTGGAGGACATGGATAAGGATCACATTTGATGAGCAGGTATGGAGGGATAATAATTTGCATTGCTGGAGGGCATAGGCACACTGATGAGATTAGTAGCAATCAAGTATTTATTAGGCACCTATGTAGGCACTGTGGCAGGTAATAGGAAAGAATGAAACTCCCTACTTGTAAGGAGCTTATAGCAACTATATATGTATATATACATATATATACACAACTATATGTATATGTGCACATGTGTATATATATATTACTATATGTATATACATACACACATGCATATATATACATATATATACATATATATAAACATAAATAGCACAAATATAACGTGAATAAATACAAACACATACAAAGTAGTTGAACAAAAGGTTGTTGGAGTTGGGAGGCTTGTGGCACCTTATAGAAGGAGAGGGACTCCATGAGGCAAAGGTAAGGAGGAAGCACATTCCGGGCAGCAGGGACACCTAGTACAGAGACGCAGAGATGGGAGATAGATTGTCATGCGTGAGGAAGAGAGAGAAGGCCAGTTTGGCTGGACCACAGAGTGTGGGAGGGGAAATAATGTCCAATGAAGCTGGAAAATAGATCGTGGTCAAGTTGTATAAGGCTTTAAAAGCTAAAGAGAGTTTGTATTTTATCCTAAAGGAAATAAGAAACCACTGGAGCTGAGTGAAATCTGAACTTAAGGAAAATTATTATTACGTTATATATCTGTTAGAGTATTGGAGTACAAAGTCCTGTATTTGGGTTCCAAAACCCACTGCACAAGCATAGGCTATGGAAAACCCAACTAGAGAGTAGACTGAGAGAAAGACGTGGATTTTCATTGGCTAGAAATTCAATATGAGTCAACAATGTAGCATGGAGCCCAAACAAAGCATACATAGTCTTAGACTTCATTAATACATTATAAAATCCAAAATAATGGAAGTAACAGTTACACATCTGGTTTAGTGAGTTCAGAGGTTAAGATGTCACATTTTAAGAGACACATGATGATATCCAGATGGAAGACAACCAAGATGGTGAGATGACCTGAACTTAGGTCATTTGGGAGTTGTGTGAATGAGTTAACCTGGAGAAGAAAAGATTTAGGGGAGATGTAAAAAGAACTCTTCAAAGATTTGAAAAACTGTAACACAGAAGGTGGATTAGACTTAGTCTTTGGGGCTTCAATAGGGAAAACCAAGACCAATGGGAAGAAGGTATATGGAGTCAGATTTCAAGTCAATATAGGGAAGAATATCCTATCAATGAGATGTCTAAAATTGGAATGGGCCACTTCCTCATCTGTAAAATAGAAATGATAACCTAGGTGGAGAAGAGAACAGTGCACCAGGCCTTGAGTCAAGAAAACCTGAATTCGAATACAACTTCAGATAATTATTAGTTGTGTGTCCATGGGCAAGTCACTCCAGTTCTGTTTGAGTCGGCTTCCTCAAATGTAAAATGGGAATTAGAATAGCACTTACCTCCCAGGGCTGTTGTGAGGATCAAGTTAAATGATTGTGAGGTGTTTAGCACAGGGCCTGGCACATAGTAGGTGCTATGTAAATGTTAGCTATTAACAATAATGATGATGATGATGCTTGCATTATTTACCTCACTTGTTTGTTATGAAAAACTTGAAGCATTAAAGGGCTCCAAGAAACTCTTTGAGAGTAGGGATTGTTTTCTGCCTTTCTTTGTATCCCCATAGCTTAGCAACATGCCTGACACATAGTGCTTGATAAATGCTTGTTGACTTGACTTTATGAGACAATGAGAATACCCTGTTACTGGAGGTATTAAATTATAAGTTGGATGATTATCTATCCAGGACATTGGGTAGAAGTTTATGTTCAATGACTTCTAAGGTCACTTGTGTGACTTTTATGATATGATTCCAACTCCATTTGCTAAGTATGGACGTTGTTCAAAATAATTTTCATCATAATGATAAATTCCAGTAACTCCTGTGACTTCATGAGAAACATCCTTTTTTTAGCCAAAGATTTTTCTTTTCCCTCTTATCACTTTGGCCACCAAAATAGATTCACAATCATCACATGCAGCATCATCGTTATCAAGGGAGCATTTACTAAGGACCTACTATGTGCAAAGCACTATGTTGTGAAATAGGAAGCCAAAGAAATAAAAGACAAGTTTTTCAAGGGGTGCATAATTGTTCTAATTCAGGATGATGGTAACTAAAGTTGAATGGGAGAGGCATTTCCTGGAAGAGGGTAGGGTGGGGTGGCAAGTCTGTCTTTCATCTTGAATTGGTATTTCAAGTTCAAGATAAAAAGGGGGGAAAAATCACAAGACCAGAAGATATAATCTTATAGCACTATCAAAATGATTTTTAAAAGATAGATTTATTTAAAGTACAACTAAAAAGCCCAGTCTTTAAATCTTGACATCATAACTCTTCTCTTTAGCACCAACCAGGCAATTTAGCTTCTTAATACTTTAAGCTCCCCAAACTAGCTTTTATGAGACATGGGTGGGGAAAGAAAGGATGCTGATCTATGGTTCCCCATTGAATGTATCATCTTTAGTTTTATCTGGTTGCAGCAAGTGAGGAGTTGAATTCACTAAAGTTTCTGATGAGGAGTTGAGCAGAAGAACCATCATGGCCAATGAGACTGCTCTATTTCCCCAAATGAAATAAGCTAAATCTTTTTTTTTCTGCTCCCATCACTGCTGCATCAACAGCTGGCTGATCAAGCACTCATAGGAACTCATCAAACTGCAAACATCCGAAGGGTAGCTTTCCAGTTCCCAACTACAGGGGAGAAAGAGAAAGATCCTTCCTCCCCCAACAAATTACCTGAGTCATCACCACTGCCATCTCGAATGTACCAACTGTATCCATATTGGACACAATGATAGGGATCCCTGAGTAGGTCTGCTTGGAGTTGCGAAATGTGAAGCTGCATTTAAGATCTACCTGTTGGGAAAAATGAAAAGGTAAGTGAGTTCTCCATGTCCTCTTTGGGCTTTCCCATATGGCTGTTTCAGAGCATGAGGGATTTAGTGGAGATGGGGTTGGGAGGTGGGCAGAACATAAATGAAGAACATGGCTCAGTGAATCCATTCTGGTGTTAGGAGATTAATTGTCTACAAAGTAATAAAGCGTGTTCTTTGTATACCACCAAGGACAAAAGGCAACAGGTTACCCAAGTTAAATGCTGAAATCTTTTCTGTGGGGTAAGTCTGCTACAATTATTTCTTTGCAAAACTCATACAGACCAAAACTGATGTTCTGCCACAAAACAAAGCTCCCAAGCAGAGGTATTAAAGCTTTATGGTATTAGGCCCTTCTTTTCCTAACTTCCCAAACTGAACCTTACTTTCCAGTTCATGTTCTTCATTCCAGCTCTGAAAGCTCGTCTGTTGCCCTTGCCCACTCTATACATCTCCCAAACTATTCTGCACTAAAATTCTCCCCAACTTATTTGCCAAACCTCTTTTGAAACTGGTTCAATTTAAAAATCACTTCCTTCATAACTAGCCCCGTCCAGAACCAGATCTTTTAACCCCTGTTTCATCTTCTCCACATAATCTAGCCTTTATCTTTTCTAGCTCCTCATCTGCTTCACTCTTATGAGTCTATCTCTGCACAGTTGTGGTTGGTCCCATGAGTGAGTCAGAGATCTGAATGCTTATATTTATTGGATTTCAAGGTGCTAAAGAGGAGGGACATCACTTCTATTGGAATTCAGAGGTCACATGATTAGGGAGCTGCTGTCCAATTCTGAGGTCAAGAACCTCTTGCATGATTGACACAGTAGTAGCCTCACCAAGAGCACCGAGTTAGGGTCAAACCAAGGGTACACTGGAGCTATCTCAAACCTACTCAGAAGGGCAAACTGTTAAATTTTCAGCATGAGCATTTATACCTTGGAAGGCAAATGTACCAACCAGGGCTTGATTGATTGTTTTATTTATTGTATAGACTTAAGAAATGGAGAAAATATTAATAATACAGATTAAATTTAAGTGTTTCAGCTGGGCACAAGTTTTTTTTTTTGTTTTGGTTTGGGGTTTTTTTTGGAAAGCCAGTTGTTAAATATTTACTAGTACCCAACTCAACCAAACACCCACAAAACAACATACAACTGGCCAACCTACAATTCTTAGATAAAAACTAAACATTTGCAGCTCTTTTCAAAAGGCACCTAGATGCCATGCTGAAAATACCAAGGGTGAAATGGTAGAACAAATACAGGAGTGGTTCTACTGCTTTTATAGTGCCTTGGAACTAAGTCTACACTAACCCTGTAGCTCTTTATTAAACTGAGAGCTGTTAACTAAATTTAAAATTAAATGAATTAAACAATTCATTTTCTTTTATTTTTAATTTTCTCTTTTCAACTCAATTTTTTTAAATTTTCAGTTCCAAATTATCTCCTTCCCTTCATACCCTTCCACATCCATTGAAAAGGCAAGAAATATAATACCTATTGCGCATGTAAAGTCATGCAAGACATATTTCTATATTAGCCATGTTCCAGGAAAAAAAGAAAAAGAAAAAAGATAAAAGAATATGCTTCAATCTATGCTCTACGTCCGGAAATTCTCTATCTAAAGATAAAATGTATTTTTCATCATGGGTCCTCTGGAATTGTGGTAGATCTTTCACAGTTGATTATAATATTGTTGTTACTATGTAAATTGTTCACCTGGTTCTGTTCATTTCACTTTGCATCAGTTCATATAAGTCCTCCCAGGTTTTTCTGAAACCACATCCTTCATTATTTCTTATAGCACAATAGTATTCCATCACATTCATATACCATAACTTGGTTGGTTTCCCCATATCCCAGTTGATTGGCAAGAGTATTCATTTTTTAGCAATGCATACTTAGAGGCTTTTAGCCCTTTCCCCTGACCTCCCCCTTTCATTTGAAGATAATTTCATGTTTCAAGATCAGCACCTAGACAGAAAAAGTTGTGGACTATCTCAGACCAATAATCCCTTAATGGATTTGAGAGCAGGGATTGTATACCTATTTCTGTAACCAAAATCTGTTCAGTGAAAAGAAAGATCCACTTAGATGAGAAAGTGTTTTACTATGTAGGTGGCCAGTATAACCACATGAATTATTGATTCTTATTATTATGATGAAAAATTTTTAAACAGTGTTCATTCTAATCTCCTGCCTGGTTTCTCCACATCAAGCTCATTCCTTTTCAGAATGAATATCATATACAACACACACCAGGGGGTTAAAAACAGCAAACAATCAATGGAGAAAAATAAGATCTCATAATTGCATAAGAATAAGCTCATCTCCTCCCTCTTCAGTCTCAGTTCTACTTCCATGAGGAGACAATTTCTGAGATACAACTAATGAATAGGTCAGCCATAACCTGCACAGAGAATGGGTCTGCTGTTTGGTTGTCCTGGCCTAAATAACCAGTATTTCAAAAACTAAATTTGCAGTTACACTTTCAAGATGCATATAGTTCAATTCATGTTGTGCACTCTAGTGATATCATAGGAGGTTTTGCCCTGCCAATCCAAGAACTATTAGCAACATAGAAAAACCAGAACCAGCCATGGAAAATATAACAAGCCTTGATAATTCCCAGACCTTTAAATGAAATTAATCCTTTGCTTCTTGGGGAATTGTTCCGTTATATGTTACCAAGCATCTGGCTATGTGTGATTAATCTCTGTTCTAAAGTGGTGTAATGGCTAGATTACCAAACTTAGAATTAGGATGACCTGAGTTTAAATTTGACCTTAGGCGCCTGTTGTTTATTATTGTTCAGTAGTTTCAGGATTGTCAGACTCTTTGTGACACCATTTGGGGTTTTCTTGGCAGAGATACTGGAGTGCTTTGCCATTTTCTTCTCCATCTCATTTTACAGACGAGCAACTGAGGCGAACAGGGATAAGTGACTTACCCAGGATCACACAGCTAGGAAGAATTGGAGGCCAGATTTGAACTTAGAAAAATGAGCCTTTCTGACTCCAGTCCAGCACTCCATCCACTGTGCCACCTAACTGCCTCAAATCTTGGCTAAGGCACTTAGTAGCTAAGTAACCCTGGGAAGGACACTTAACCTTTCTCAGTCTCAGTTTATTCTTCCATATTATTGTGATAATACCTGAAGCACATGCCCTGTTATTAGTTGTAAGAATCAAATGAGATAATATATTAATAGTGTCTTGCAATGTTCAAGCCATTTATAAATGTGGATAGAGTACTGGATTTGGAACCAGAAGGACCTGAGTTCAAATCTGTTCTTAGGTACTTACTAGCTATGTGACCCTGGCCCAGCCACTTAACCTCTCTGTCCCTCAGTTTCCTCATTTGTACAATGGAGATAATAAGAGCACCCACCTCCCAGGGCTATTGTGAAGATAAAATGAGATCATATTCATAAAGTACTTTGCAAACGTCAAAGCAGTATATACATGCTAACTATTATTAGTAGTAGTAGTTTAGTACACAGAGATGAACAATGAAAGAATATACTTCTAAAACATCAGTGGCATTTAAGAAACTATGCTGACATTTAATATGAAGTGGTTGACCTCTGGTTGGAGCAGGCCCCTAGGCACATTCACCCATGCTCCGCATTCCAACTATTAAGCCTGATTTAGACTCCTTCAGTAAGAATATAAATTAATCAACTCATTGCTTTGAAGTCGTTGAGGAGACAAATGTTCATTCCAATAGTTCCGTGTCCAGTTCCCTAGCAGGAAATGCCAATTGAGATCCCACCTAACCTAGGTCTTTGAATGAGATTCTGGCCTAGGATAGTAGAGTTTAAGTGACATTATCAGTTTAGAAAGACCCCCAGGAAGTTATCACCCTTGGTTCCCAACATTCAGAAGGAGTCTCTGACAGTTCTGAGGCCCAACTAGGAGTTTAAAAAAATCACAGGATCTTAGAGCTGCAAACAGTCTTATGGTCCAACCCTCTTTACATAGATTAGGACACTGAGGACCTTAGACATGAAATGACTTGACCAAGGTAATCTGGTAGTGTGCTGGTAAATGTTCAACAATCCTCTAGATGAAAACAAATTTAGGCAAGACACACTTTGCACTTTAATCTGGATTATTAACATTTTTGTGTGTTCCCACTGAAAATTTAACAACTAAATTTAACAATCCAGCACACCCCGCCTTAAAGCTAAGTAGTGCAGTAGATAAAGCACTGGGCCTGGAGTCAGGAAGTCCTGAGTTCAAATACAGCACGATGCTTCCTAGCTGTATGACCCTAGGCAAGTCACCTAACTTCTGTTTGCCTCAGCTTCCTCACCCATAAGAATAATAATAGCACCTACCTCACAGGGTTGTTAGGAGGATCAAATGAAATAATAATTGTAAAACATATGCCCGGTACCTGGCACATAGTAAGCATTATATAAATATTGGCTATTGCTGTTGTTATCAGAGCACTCTACCTCGCTGAAGTCTATTCCAGGACAGATTATAGGATCATAGATTTAGAAGATGAAGAGACCTTACATGGTATCTAGTCTAACCCCCACATAGAGAATTTAAGTGACTTGCACTGGTTAAATAGGGAGCAACCCTAGGCCAGTGCTGGGGTGAAAATTAAGCCCTCCAAAGGACTGTGATCTGATCTCCCTGAGGCCTTCAGGCCAGGAACAATGAGAGAGCATCAGAAGAGAGCACTCTTACCCCCAGGCTACTCTGGAGCAACAGAACTGGTCAGTTTGTTTCAGATTTCCTAAATAATATCAGGGATGATTCATCAGTAAGTATCACCCTGCCACTCTAAAGACCAGATGAAGCAAGGATGACTGAGGTCAAAAATGGAGGATAGGTTTTAAAATTTAAAAAGAATCCTGGGCATGAATGAAATGGATACACCCTCACTCTGAGGTACTAAAGAACAGCACCATCTGGATACACATAGAGGAGGGAAGGTTTCTTGTCTCATCCCAGAAGTCAGAACCAGGAGCCAAGGGTCTGCCACTTACTAGCTTTGTGACCTTGTAAGAGTCACTTAACTTTCCTGTTTCCTCACCTGTAAAATGAAGGGCTTGGATTAGATTGCCTCTAAGGTCCCAGTTCAGCTCCTAGCCTGAGGCCAGCCCTCCAGACTGGTGAGCCCCAGGGTGGGATCACCATTTCCTGAGGTGGGCTCAGCCACAGGGCTCTTTTTCACTGTCTACTCAACCCACCCTCCAAAAGGCTTCTCTTCCTCCCTTTACAATTCCCCCTTATGTTTTTGTCTTCAGATATTAGAAAGTAAGCTCCAAAAGAGTAAGAACCATCTTGGGGTTTGGCACTTTTCTTGAATATTTGTATTCCCAACACTGAGCAAAATGACTGGCACTCAGTAAGCACTTAATAAATGTTTTACCTACCTAATTTTTTGATGCAAAGAGGAAAATGTAGATTTAACAGAAGAAAGAACTTCCTTACCATTAGTATTGTCCAAAAATGGAATGGACTACCTTAGGAAGTAGCCATTTCTACCTGGTGGAAAGGGGGCTGAGAAGGATGGGAGCTGGACCCAGAAGAAATGGGTTCAAATTTTTGCTCTGCTACTTACCATCTGTGTGACCTTGGACAAGTCTCCTCACCTCTGTGGGCCTCAGTTTCCTCATCAGTAAAATGGGATGGTTGGGTTAAATGTTCTCTAAGGTCCCTTCTGCGATCTTGTGATCCTTACTAGAAGCCTTCTAAAAAAAGGCTAGATGACTCCATCAGGGATGTTTCAGTTAGAGGCTGCTGGTCCTTCCCAATTCTGAATTTCTGTGATTCAGCTATATGGATGCCTCAGTAATATTCTTATTGGGAGGTCAAGGAAAAGACAAAGGTAGGAAGGGAAATAGCCAAACAACGGGCTTGTCTAGGCACTAAGAGGTCAGTCATTTGCCTGGGGGTGTTTGGAGTTTTGTGAACAGGCATCACTTGTTATATTCTAGTAATCACACTTGGAATTTGCTACAAACTATTTCCCCAGGGGCCCCAGCCGGCCAGAAGCCTGAGAGTGCCTGACCAAACCAGATGATTCTCTGTTCCCTCTGCCCTGTCCTCTGTCACAATGCCTCCTGCCCCATCATCAGGGTTAGCTCCCAGCAAGTTTATTGTATGGTTAACTGTTTTTCTTTAGTTTCCTCCTAATATTCCTCAGGGCCACCTTCAGTGCCCCAACACTCTCTCCTTTTCCCTGCAATCCAGTAAAATATCTGACTTTGGTTATTTTCACCTCAATATTTGCATGTAACAGGCTCCTGAATAAATAATGAATGATCTTCCAGAGGTATGGTATTACCTCTCTTATCCACATGTTTACTTGGACCCTGATCTCCAATTGTGAAATGCAAAAGCTTTTGTCCCTTAAAGGAATGTCAGGCCTCAGCCAGGAGGCAGATGAGGCTTCTGAAGGGCCCCGGAGGGAGTACAGAAAGGGGAGAGGGAAATTTCCCTGGGCCCCTGAAATCCTATCATGCAAGCCACTGCTATCCCTGCTTATCTCACTAAAGTCTTCTCCATCCCTGGCTCTATGGAAAGGTACCAGGAAGGAAAGGCACTAAGCTTCTGCCGGCTAGAGTGGTGAGAGTTAATTCTAGACCAGCCTCTTCCTGTACCACACTGCACCGCACCCCAGCCAACCAGCTAGCCCTGCTCCTCCTCAAAGGTGACTTTACTCCTCATTCATGGGCAAAAGCACAAAGCTGCTCCTGTTCAGCTAGGATAAGACTCCCTGGATAGCAGTACCAGGTACCACCAACTCATGCTAAGCTCCAGACAACAAGGTCGACAGGTATGCCTCCTTGCCTCAGGTAGTCAAGTTTCTGTTTTTGAAACTGATGCAGCAGTGACTTCGCTCTGGCATGCTCTGTTTACTCCTATGTCTCTAGCCTCAGTGATGGTGTCCAATTTCCTAAGCTACTACTGTCACCAGGACAAGGCTGTGCCACCACCATTATGCACAAAGAATAAATTAACCTGTCCATTCCTTGACCTCTCCCCTCCCCCAGCCAGGCTACCATACCAACCAACCATGCCCTTTTCCCTTATGCCCTTTACAATGCAGGGTGCCACCTGTTCAGAAGGCCTTTATTCCATCCCAAGAAGAAATGTCAAAAAGAACAACCACCTGCTAGGATCTCCCCACCCCACCCCCAACATTTTTCTCCCACTTTTAGGCTACTGGCTGGAACAGCACACTTGCCCAATTCCTTAGTGTTATATTTAGGATGGAAATACACCTCCCCACCCCACCCCACCCCCACATCCTCCAGGAGGAAAAAGAGTCCCCTACCAGGCCCACCAGCTCCACAGGCAATCAAAATATATCTGGAGCTCCTTCTCAAAGACATTTCCAAAGTCAGAGAACTCCAGGGACTCACAAGTGTAAAGTCAATAGCAGCCTTCAATATTCAGAATAGCAGCAAAAACCCAAATGTGGTTCAGCAGCCCCTTCTGTCCTTCATCCCATCCCTAACACACACACTCTCACTCTCACACTCTCACTCTCTCTCTCTCTCTCTCTCTCTCTCTCTCACACACACACACACACACACACACACACATTCACTCACTCACTCACTCCACATAAAAGTCCGGTCCAAAGGCATCCTAATAAACAATTCTTACTTTGCTCACTTGTGGCAGGGCAATTCTCAATTTCTCCTCCATCTGCTTACAACTCCCACCCCCCACCCCCCACCCCTGCCCTGGTCTTCGGAAATAAGAACTCCCCATTCTCTCTCTTTTTTTCTCTCTCTGCCATACAGGCATTCTCCTGCAAGGGAATAGCTGACCTTGGTCACATCTGGTCAGGGGAAAATAACACAACGTTAAGCTCAGGGAGCTCAGAAAGGAAAGCAATGTTACAGAACTCTGACGTTAGGTACCAAGAAAAGGAAAAGAGAGAGAACTCAAAGCACACAACCATCGCATGGCTTCAGGCTCGGTCCCCACCTCGGCTCGGCTTTTGAGGCTGCTTCGCTTAGGTCTGAGCAAGACATCTTTAAAGTCCAGTTTGAGGTCTGCATCTACCCGGGGCATCTTGTGGGATCCGCAGGAAGTACCTCTCTCTCTTTCTCTCTGCCAACCTCTCCCTTTTGGAACCTGGTAGAGCAGTCCCCTTCTTGCTGCAGGGGCAGGGGCGATCAGCTGCGGCCGATCTCAGGGCGGCCCGCCGGGGCTGACGGTCTGTGGCCCGCGAGTGTTACAGGGAGGCCGGGCGCTCCATCGCTTTATTAGGAGAGGGCTGTTTTTAGAACCGGCTTCTGCAGAGCGCACGCCCGGCCGCTCGCGGTCTCCTGTTTCCTGCTCGAGCTTTCTCAGCTGCTGGCTCACTCTTCCTCCCTCTCTCTGTCCCTCCCTCCCTTCCTTCTTCCCTCCCCTCCCCCGGCCCTCTCTCGTCCCTGTTCCCTCCAAATGGAGCGGGGTGTGAGCCAGGGCACTGCAGCAGAGTAATCGATAGCAGTGAGTGTGTCTGGAGAACAGGGCTGGGCAAGGATGGTAATCCTACAGGAAGCTCCAGGTTTAAGGACAGGATGATAGTAAAAGAAAAATACATGAAAACAACTCCTGCTTCAACCCTGCCCCCCCCCCCCCCCGTCCCAGCAGACAACACCCCCTCCCCCCAATCTTTCTGTCTCTGGCTGTCTCTCAGTTTCTCTGACTGTGTCTCACTTCCCTCTCTTTCCCCCCTCCCTATCTCTTTTTCCCCCTCTCTGTCTCTGTCTCTGTGTCTTTCAGACTCTACTCTTTCTCACTTGCCTCTCTCTCTCCCCTCCCTATCTCTGTCTTTCTCCCTTTCCGTCTGTCTTTTTTTTGTCTCTCTCCAAATATACATATATGCACACAAAAATACATATATACACATATATAACACATTTAATTATAAATTGCATATACATATTTATCTGTATATAGGCACAAACTGTTACACATTATATGCCCTTATATTTTGTTCCTGTTTAGGTTAAAAGAAAGTATACAAAAAATCCTACTACAGGAAAAATCTCTGTCTCTCTCTTTCTCTGTGTGTGTGTGTGTGTGTTTGTGTGTGTGTGTGTGTCTCCCTTCTTCACTCCTCTGTGTCTCTACCCATGTATATGTTATATATATATATATAACATATACATAGTAAAAGTTATAGTTTTATATATACATATTTATCTGTACGTATGTACACATGGATACACTCTCTATATATGCTTCCTTATCTTTCTCATTTTGATTCCTGTTTCAGTTTACCAGCATGACACTCTTGCTGAATACTGGGACATATATATTTTAGCCTAAATGCTGAATACAGTGTCACTCTGGTGTTGGATTTAAAGGTAAAGAAGCCTTCCACCTTCTTGCCTATTTTCTAGAGACTTACACAGAGCTCAATTTCTCTGCCAGGGGCTGAACAGGGCCTCTCACCTGTGAGAAAATCAAATCCTAACACAGGGGTTCTTAACCTGGGGTCCATGTCTGTGGATAGATGGGGGGGGTAAAATTCGAGAGGGAAAATACATCTTTATTTCAGTATACTTGGTTTTCTTCGTATTTCATTTTATGCATTTAAAAACATTCAGAGAAGGGGTCCATGACACAAATAAGGTTAAGAACCATGATCCTCCAGAGTCTGAAGGTAAGTGGGAGGGGACTGAAGAATTCTCACTCCTCTAAGCAAATTAGTAAGGGAATTTTAAAAATTCCATTTCGTTAATGATTATTGGTTCTGCCAAAAAGAAATAAACAAAAGAATGGAGGAGAATGGTGAGTATAGATCCTACATATGAGGGTTTTCAGTGATCCAAGTTTGGAATTTTCCAAGAACCTAGGGGTTTTGTTGTTTTTCAATCATGTGTGACTCTTCATGACCCCTTTTTGAGATTTTCTTGGCAAAGAGACTGGAGTGATTTGCCATTTCCTTCTCCAGCTCATTTTACAGATGAGGAGACCGAGGCAAACAGGGTTAAGTGATTTGCCCAGGGTCCACAGCTTTATGATCCCACTAATAGCCAGAAATAGATTCAATAAAGTCTTCTTGACTAGATAAACTACTACCAGTTCTCATGTATTAAATAAGATGATTTGGCTAAATGTCCTGTAAGGTTCTGGCTAGCCCTAGATTGATGATCCTATGATAAAGACACACAATAAATAAATTATGTAACTTTAAGTGTAAATGCCAATTAATAATATTATGGAGCTAAACAACTCACATGACCTCCTCATCTTCTTCCCCGTTCCTCCTCTCTTCCTCCTCAGCCCAGAGAAGCAAAAGACAACAAATTCTTACCAGTTTCCTGAATATTTAAGTGTTTTCAAATTAACTGCCCAACATCTATCAGTTGTTGCCTTTAAGACAAAACAAACCTGTTGACTTTATAGAATTATGAACTGGAAGGGATCTTAAAGGTCACCTTAGTCAAACCCCATTATTTTACAGATGGGGAAATGTACTCATTCAATGATTTCCCCATGTTCACACAACTTGTAAAAAGGAGAAATGGAAATTCTGACTCTAATACTAGTAAGTACTCTGACTGCTACACTACACAACCTCAAGTTTTTTTTTAAAGAACCCAATAATAATCTTCTTTACAATATTTTGCTCTAGTAAGTAAAGCATGATATAACTACAACCTAGTATGAATATTAAACCAGTATAACCCTCCAAAATACAGCAAAAGGACCCCTGGGATTCCTGTAGCTCTTATATGCTAAGATAAGCATTTGATACTCTACCAATGAGACCTCACTAAGTTGTCTTGGTTATTCCTTGTCCTTTTTTCCCTGTGTCATATTTCTCATCTTAGTCACATCCGCTCATTCTCTTCCCCCTACACCCTTCCAATACTACTCTGAAGTCACATTGTGGCTTGGCAGTGACTATGGGTACTCAGCAGCTGTGTCAGCAGAGTACACATACTGGCAGGTTCTATCAAGTGGGAAAAGATTTAGTGTCAGGCTTGGAGAAGGACTAGGTGTCTTTTGTGTGAGGACCAGCCTGGCTGAATTTGGAGAAAGCCATCATCGTAAGGTTTGCCACATTGAAAGAACATGTTTAGCCACTGCAAGTGGAGTGAGGGCCAGAATAGATGAGAAAGAAAGGGAATGAACATTTGTAAGTACCTGGTTGATTGTTGTCCTTCATGCTTGAAGAGGACCAAAATGACATCACTATGTTGGGGTCAAAGTACAACTGGTCCGACTGTGGCTGATCAGACCAAAACACTATCAGAAGGCTCCACCACAGGTTGGGTACAAACAGTCCATATGAACATTGAGAGTGAAGATTTCTCTAAATTTGTGTGTCTTATGTTTCTTTTGAACTACTGAAATTCATAGAGCACGGCACTTCCTTTGATGTGTGCACACCCCACTGGGCAATCCTATGACAGTGTCTCGTATTTCTCACAATTGATACCACACTTATTTAGAGAGACTGTGACAGTATCCTTATATCTCTTTTTCTAACCCCACAGTGAGCCCTTGTCTTGTGTGAATTCTCCATAAAAGTAGTCTTCTAGGCAAACGTACGTTTGGTATTTGAACAATACGGCCAGCCCATCAGAGCTGTGTTCTCTGCAGTAGAGTTTGAATCCTTGGCAGTTTAGCTCAAGAAAGAACCTCAATGTCTGGGGTACCTTATCTTGCCAGGTGATCTTCAGAATCTTCTTAAGACAATCCAAATGGAAGTGATTCAGTTTCCTGACACGGAACTGTTAGACTGTCCAGGTTTCACAGGCATACAACAACGAGGTCGGCACAATGGCTCTGTAGAACTTCAGTTTGGTAGGCAGCCTCTTCTCCCCTACACTTTTCTTAGGAGCCTCCCAAATGCTGAGCTAACTCTGGTAATGTGTGCATCATCTTCATTATCAGTGTGTGCATCCCTGGAAAGTATATTGCCAAGGTAAGTAGGGTTGTGATAACCCCTAAGCAAGTTGGGCAAATTCCCCTGATGATGTCACTAGATAGAAGAGAATATCCAGAGGAGAGCATGTGAGAGGTGAAGGACTTTCTTGGAGAATTTCAGGAGTTGATATCACATGTGGGGCCACTAAGGGTCTGGGTTAATGATGCAGGATGCATTAGCTGCCAGAACCCTAACTTGGAATCCTTGTGCTAAGGCAAATTCAGTTGAGGATAGGCAGGTAATGTGGATGAGATGTTAGCAGGGCAAAGATGATAGTCCATTTCAGGGACAGCCACTCCAAGAGAGGGGATAAACTATATCCTTGAGAAGCCAAACTGCATCCCTGAAGGACAATGAGTGATCTCCGGCCCTGGAAACCCCAGAAGAAATACAACCAATGCTCCAAACTTGGAAAGAGGCAGAGGTAAAGAGGAAGCAGGCAGTAGACAGAGGGAATACTGGGAAAACAGGTCTTGGGAGAGAGATATTACATTGATAGTTCCCTGAGTGTCCCAGACTAGAGCAAGTGAGGGAATAGCATGGTCCTCCTTAAGGATATGGATGGTTTTCAGAGGACTGCTGTGGGAAAGAATAATTCTCTCAATTGGCACCCTGGGACAAAGCCCTGGCCATCTTACCCTATTACAGGTCTGCTAGCTGCTGCAATTTCTCACTCTTATCTTGCAACATAAGCTAGTTGAGGGGACCACCATGCCATTTGTACAAACTGTTGGAGTAGTATGATTCTTTGGAGTAGTCCAACCCTGGGGAGGATTTTATGTTCCAAAAGTATCGATGAATCTTAGATTCAAGACCATGTAGAAGTTAATACAAGGTGCATTTAAATGAAAGAAAGTCAAGGAAATATTTGAACCAATAACATTTGGCTAACACCCCTTCTCCTCCAATACACACAAAAATGTAGGAATTATTTCTGAGGCACAGAATTATATCAACAGAAATATTATGTCTGGTCATTTTGATCTCCACATACAAAAACAAAGAAGCATTGGCCCAATGTTGTCTGAAAAACAACCTTTCAATTTATGAGTTGAAAACTATGCCAGGGAAGTAGATATGATTGTGAATTTCCTGAAATTTACTTCCTGTATCTTTATGGTGCAGGTCAGTTGGTTAACAAGTATATTTATTTGTAAGACTTGCCTGATACCCCATTTGTCTTTGGAGTGTTCATGTTCAAATGTAACTATTTTAAGAGCTGCTTAATGCTTGGGCTCCAGGAGATTTCCCAATTTGGAACAAACTGAGTATTAAAACCTGTTTTTTTATTATAGTATTATTACTATATCTGTGTGTGTATGTGTATATATATATATACATACATGTGGAGTCTGTTCTCCACAC